CCCACCCTCCCGGCCGCTGCACACGCGGCGATCGTCTGCCCACGTAATGGCAGTTGGCCAGAGCGCAGAGCAGTGCGCCCGGCAGTGGATCTTCTGATTGAGCACGTGTGCTCCCTCTTGCACGGGCTTTAGTTGGATTCAAACGCGACGCGATTGCTTTTATGAGCTTATTTTCCTGAGAAAGTTGGACGAGATTTTTGCGAAATACAGGGAGTGGAAAATCTGGTGGAGAGCAGGTTCTTTTTATTTATATTTTTTAACAATATTGTTATAATATTGTTTGTAACATTAAAAGTGGTTTGTTTTGAAATAGTGTGTATCACGAATTGTGCTTGATTTTGAGATGTGTGGCCCATGCAATGATCAAATAAACTTAATGTGTTTCCTTCAGGAGTATTGCTAGGAATTTGGTATCTTATGAAGGCCACAACTCTGTAGAAGTAGCCTACTAGAACTGAACAGAGAACGTAGCCTACTAGAAGTGAACAGAGAACTATATACGTGCTTAGATTGTATTAACAGATAGTGGATATGTGAGTTTTCACAAGAGATAAAGCTAAATGTACAGGGTTATTTTAAATTAGTTTCCTAAAATTACCTTTGAATAACAGAGTAGATTTAGTTATTGAAATAATTAATTCTCAGCTCACAAATTGACACGTTTCTTCCTACAAATGTTCATTGTGGCATCCTTTTGTAATAAAGCAGATCTGTAAGAAATTTCTTTCCGGATGCGCGAGAACTTGTCAGCATCTATCTCAGCCAATTATCATTACCATGCTTTAGAAGCATTGGTGCGTTCGCGGTCATCCATGGTTGAAGTGGTGGGATGTACACCTTGTCTTTTAACATACCCCCACTGATAAACGTCATGTTATGATCCCACTTCGTTCAATCCAAACAGGAACGATACAGTGACCTTTCAATGGAAATCTATCTTGCTGGCCTTGTCTTCATGAAGGTGTGGCATCAGGTAATTCTGCTGCACATCAAGAATTATAATTCCCGTTTCAGTCTGCTCTTTAAAAAATGTTTCATAAACTTTGAAGGGACGCGTTGCTCTATCGAAGCATTCAGTTTCGATAAGTCGCTTGTGTGTTAAAATCTCAGACGGTTTCTGTGTGTTCCATATGCGTATAGTGTGGCGGTTAACAGTAACACTAATGTAAAGGCTGGCCTCATCCCCGAACACAATCTTCGTGAGAAAATTCGTTTTGTTTTCCATCATCATGATCATTCGAAAACCATACTGCTTCTGCTTACAACTTTTACTCAACGCCTGCATTAGTTGCAATTTCAACGCCACACACAGCAGTCGCCGTGGCAAAATTCTCCAAAACGTAGGCTGGGGAAGATTCTGCTCCAAACCTGCCCTCTTTGTGAACTTCCTTGGACTCCATGCATGCGTCTCTCTTACGGCTTCCACAACGTGAGGGCGACCTTGTCCTTTCCCTCCCTACAACTTCTTTCCACGAAACACTCATAACCATTCTTTTGTAGTCTGCCGGACTTTTATTTTATTTTATTTTGGATTGAAATACACAAAGAGCTGTGTATAAAACATTTGTTACGAATAAATGAACCGCTGGAGTATACGAGATCCATGATAATGTATCAAGAAAACTTGTTAGTGTCATGGATCTGGTATACTCCCAACGGCTCTTTTTTTTCGGTGTAGGGTTGCTTAAATCTACATGGAATTAACTTACTAATAATAATCTTACTAATAATCTTAAAATGCAACTTACATTTCTACTTGTGTGGTTGAGGTATGGTCATATGATAATTCTTTGGGTCGAGATCTGAGAAGTTCTTTAGGAATGTGTGAAACGGGAATTTATGCTTAATGTTCTGTGTATTTTTTTCGAAGTCTTAGAGGGAGTTCGATTGGGTGCATTTGTGAATGTTTTGGAGAAAGCGGGTGGATAAAAAAATGTGGTTGTTATCAGTTCTAACTGGAATGCTTTATGGCATTGTATATCGTAGATGTACCACGGAGCATTCGTGATGGTGCGAAGGAACTGATTGTGGACTTTTTTGGTATTCGATTTGGCAGCGCTGATCCATACTGGGCAGCGATTTAAAAGTAGTGGTCGTACGATGTTTTGTAAAGCAGTAAGGCAGTACCGGATGGTAATATAGCAGATCTGTTCATTATTGCTTTAAGTTGGTGTAATTTATTTTTTGCTCGCATAACTCGTATTTCTTTGCCTGTGGGGGAGCTTTATGATACTTCATTCTGAAGCCTTACAGCAATTGGTGATTGAGTTTCATGGAACCACAAGCAACAATTTGCACGCTCCGCACCGCTAAATATGTTCATTGGGACTGCGATGACACCGTTCCTGACAGACAATGAGAGACATTTGGCTGCGAGGGCTTAGAACTTGATAACTCAACGAGAGGTTTGAAGGGCACCCGCAAAAATATCAGTCAATGATTTTGACATTATTTCATGTTTCTTTTAGTTAACTAAATTACAATAACCCTGTGTATTCTGAATCAAATGAGCTTAATCGTAATAATGGCCTTTTCGATATAAACGATTCCGTTTGTTCGTTGTAAGCTCAACTTCTAAGACTTATGTCTAGCGCCATGAACCATTACGATAAAGCGTAAGTATGTTCGTTTCATTATTCTGCATGTCTCAAAGCACGCGCCTTTCGACACCTCTGTCGCTAGTGTGAAAACGTTAGAATGCTTGTCAGGCGTTGAAAGCACCCGTATAAAGGAATCACGCACGGTACTCCCCTGCCCTCCGCGCGGGGAAAATGCTGGCGTGATTGCGTGGAATGAACGTTTCCAAGGTGACCCTCGTTGTGAAACAGCGCGGCGCCCAACCGGCCACCGACGAGACGACAAGTCTGTCGCCACGCGAACCGAGTTGGGCAGGTTCGACGTCAACAAAGCGCCGCCCCTTTTCCTCCGGAGCGCAGGGGTCGGCCGCTGCCCTCGCGACCCACATCCCCAAGTCCGCAGAGCGTCGGGGGCCCTCGCCCTCCCCCTCACTGCTACCCTTCACCCTTTTTTTGACACGTTCTCCTTTTATCTTCTAAATCGGTTGTCCCCATCCGCCCTCTTCTTTCAGAGACAGCGCTCCGGGTTCAGCGTCCTGTGTCCGTCGGGCGTTTCAGTACCACCGATCCAGTTCGCAGTTTCAATAGATGCCCCGCCCGGCCCCCCTCCGCTCTCCGCGGAGTCAATTCCCGCGCCCGCTCGCGTCGTTCCTCCCCTCCCCTGTGCGGGGCACTCACGTGCCGGCCGCCCCGCCACGTGGCGTCGCTGACTTCCGCGCGCCCCGTGCGTCAGCGGTGCTCGGCATATTGATTGGAGGCGCACCTGCCGCGGGGTCGCCATGACGACGCATCGACGGCCCGCCGCCACGCTACCTGTGAGTGGCCGCCGCGCCTCCGCTCCTGCTCCCCGGCGGGCGCGGCGCGGCGGCGGGCAGGTACGGGCTCGGGGGTGTCCCCGCCGCGCAGGCTCTCGCTCGCCTGCATCGCTCCTCCCGCTCCCTCGTCCTGCCTCGCCACGCCAAGCGTCGCCGTCCCCCCGCGCGCGTCCACACGGGCGCTTCGCTTCTCTCCTCTCCTCTGCTGGGTTGCGTCGACTCGCCCCATCGCAGGCCTCGCCTCTCACGTGCAGTGCTCCCGGCGACGCGACGCGACGCTTCTTCTGCTACTCCCCCACGGGCAGTCGATCCATGGATTCGATTCTCGTGCGTTTGGATCAGTGACTGATCCAAGAGGAGAGGGCGCGGTGGTCGTGCTAACGTTTTTTAATTGTACTTCATTTACTCAAAATATCAACCGTATATATAGATTTTACCACATCCAAAGTATTATTTTCATTATGAATATACTCTTTTTTTATTTTGAGGTGACAATTAAATTTTGTTTTTCAAAAATATCTGGGATCTGAACTGAAAGTGCCCTCTATGAAATTCTTTGTTGATCCCTACCTAGTTGGGGGTGGGCGCGTGGAATGACCTTTCTCTTTTGATTTTCCCCCGCACTTCGTGCATTCAATGATTCTAATTCGTGTATTTGTACTTGAGGTTGATTGCACAATGGCTTTACGGCATGGGATCATGAAGGGTTGAATAGGTATTAGTTTTTCACTTTTTGCATGTAGTGATTATGCCATGGAAAGCAGCTATATTCTCCGTTATTTCTATGTAAACGTACTAGTATGTGAAAAATAAAATAAAAAGTAGATTTTTGATGTTGCGAATATATTATAGTTAACGGTAAAGTAATTTACATCAATAGCATAATTTTTTTAAAATCAATATTGTTTCTAAATCGGTTAATATAAGTTTATAATAAACGGAATTTTTGTTTAAAAAAAAAAGCTTTCGCTTTTCCAGTTCATTTTCTTGAACCTCTCCTCATGGCAACCGTTTAAGTGGCGTCCAAGTTGCTGTGAACGGTTTACTGCCGCTTCAATACAACCAAAAAAGAGTAAAATTTGTATTCGTGCATAACATCTTCTGAGCATTGCTCGTTAATTACACGTACTAGGAGTCCGTGAAGCAAGGGAAACATTGCAGTGTAGCATTGCGAGAAGCGCCCTCCGCGCTACCGGCAGCCGAAGGGCGAAGCGCAGCGCTGCCCCGGGGCTCGCCGGAGTCTCGGCGCGCCGGAAGTTTGCCTGAGCGGTAACGGCGCCTTTCCTCGCGTCCCTGGCGGAGCCGGAGCCGGATCGTTAAAATGATTGGGAGCCGATAACGAAAGTTGGACGGCTTGAGCTCCGGCAGCTCCCGGTTGGTTGTGGGTTCGAATTTGGCGAAGGAGGTGAATTGTTTTATCAGTGTTGAAGCAGTGGTAGCCTATTCATCTGGACGACTATTCATCTGATTCTCGTATCAGTCGGCGTATCATAATTGTCTGGTTATTCCAAGTTTCTATTGTGTGCATATGTAACTATCATCTCGCTAAAAAAGTAAGAGAATAAGGGTTTAGGGAAGGAAAATATTAGAAAATAATTTAAAATCCCTCTTCTTTTTTTGTTACTTAAGGAGAAATTCTGTAGTCTACTCTCTTTGTGTGACCAGTGTGGTTTAATAATCAATTGGTGTTTTCTTTGTTCGAAGTTTACTGTTCAGGTGTTTCGAATTGATCTCTTAAACGTTAAATTACATAGAACGTGCATGATGTATAATTACGCTTTCTTTAAATATTGAAGAAGGTAATAGTTGTACAGAGCAGTATTATTATACATGTCTCCTTATTCATTGTTTGATCTGATGGTCAATCTTATTTGTAGAATATCCTTACAACTTTCTCTATTTCCTGTGATGGCAACTGGTAATTTTTACCTACTTGCGCATTCCATCTGAGGCACTCAACTACAATGAACGTAATTATTTTGTTTGTTTCCTAATATTCAGCAAATTTTGTAGGGTTCTACGTACGAGTTCATTATAAAAGTGCGTGAAGGCGAAGTGGGATAAAAACTAAGCCCGCGGAGTGGGCGTGCGAGGCCCTGGACGCCCCCCGACGCGGGCGAAGTTTGGCGCGGGGGCGGCGCCGAGTCGCCCGCAGCTGCGGCCGGGCTCCGCGCTCCCTCGGCGTGAATATTGCAGCGTGCGGCGAGGCGTCGGCCGCTGGCGCTGCTTCGCCGACGCTGCCGACGACGCCGACGCCGGCGCTGCCGCTTAGACGCACGCCCGTATTTTTAGCCGCGAGGCCGCGCTGCGTCGGGGCGCCCTCTGCCGGGTGCTGCTGCTGCTGCTGCTGCTGCTGCTGCTGCTGCTGCTTCCCTTGCGTCGCTCTGCGCCCCGCCCCCTTCCCGCGCGCTGGGTGTGTCCGGCGGGCGGCCGGCTGCGCTCGCCGCTTTGCGCGCCTCCAGCCGTCGCGTCGGCTCTCCGCTGCGGGAGGTCGCTCCAGATTTGTCTTCCATCCGACAGTTCGGGCAGTGTCGGTTTTCCAAAATATCGGGGAATTTCGTTGATTTGAAAATGTCAGGTAAATCTGGAAAGTTGTTCGAAGAATTATTAGCTTCTTATCAAATGAGGGGAATCTCCGCGACAAAGGCGCGTGAACGCTTCGAAGCCTTTGTGCCTGCTACCGCGAACATAAATTTCAGGAGTGTCCTGGGCCCCGTAAGAGTATTTCAAAATGGGACCGTGAACTTCCATTAACAGCGCCGCGTATGTAGACATCCTAGGCAGATTTTGGCGCGCCGTTCGAAAGGAGCGTCCAGGGATGTGGGTGAAAGGCGTACTGTTGCAGCATGATTACTCCCGACTCTATACAAGTCCGCAAACAGTCGAGCAGTCGCAGAGATTGCCTTTGAAGTCCCACTCGCCGTATTCTCCGGACTTGACTCCCTCTCGTTCTCCTGATCAAAGCCACGAAGAAGCCCCTGCATGGGCGGTTTTCCATGAACTTCCGCGAACTGCAAACCTCTGTCCGGGCGTGGATGTCCCAGCACTCCGAAGAAGTAATCCAGAGGACCTAGCAATTCGTTTGCGGGACTTGCGTCGTCTGAAAGAAGGTATGAGAAATGTGGACTTAACCACAGACTTCTGATTTGTTTCTGTATGCGCAAAAAAAAAAGTGTTAAACAATATAGTGCCCCCCTTGTAAAATGAAATTCGCGCCTGTTGTTGCTGTGTGGTTTCTGGCCTAGAAATTAAAAGTGAGCCACTGTACGTGTTTTCAGGACATTGATACCTCTTTGTGTAGAGGAATGTGCCTTTCTCACACTCTACTGCTGTGTGGCTAAATATTTGATGTTCCGGCTTACCACTTCTTTGGGGCAATAACTGATTCGACTTCAAAGAATCCCAGCAGCATATCAAGCACATCCGTCAGACACGCAAATAGTGCAGGGAGCTTGTCTGCCTCTTCTTTCATCTTGCGAATCTTCGCACATTTGAAGTTGTCGCATCTGAACACCATGACAGTACTTCTCTATTTGAAATGGGGTTGTTATGGATAGGCAAACAGAACAAACTCGAGTTAAAAACTGACATTATTTTTTGATAATCTTAAGGCATACTAAACATTGCGTACTATCCGCCCAGATATCTGAAGTCATTGTGATGTTCTTTGTGTGCCAACTATTATCACAGTTGTTCATAACTAACGATGTAACTGGTAGTGGTCGGGCATTGTATCTTAAAAATGCCGAAATCGATTATCATAAAAACAACAAATGCAAACCACGGATAACACGAGTGAATTGGAGTTGAAAAATTGTGATCGGCTTATAAATTTATTCCTTTTATTTTTGTAGACATTCTTTGCGCATTTGAATATTTATTTAAACTTCAAAATGTCATGCATTAATAAAACAGAAAACTTCTGTTTTATTCTTCTTCTTTCTGTTCTGTTCTTCTTACTTCCGTGTTATACATTTCATGTATACTCTATTTGACCGTATACGAATGCGAATGAATGCATATCAAAATATTAACTGGCGGTAAAAAGACAAACAAAAGGGTTTTAAGAGAAGGGGCTAGGTTTTGCAAAAACATACAAAATGACTTCACATTGAAGGCACCTTGCCGGCAGGCTCGTGTACTTGGCGACATGCTTCAACGTTAATTGTAGTACATTAACCCTTCTAAGTAGAATGTCACAAAATGCAAGTTATTTAATACTTTTTGCGTTGGGGTACAGATACACCAGCGATTTGTCAGCCTACCGAATGTGTTGCTGTTTTTAACTCTATTCCCAAAGGCAACGTTTACGTCTTTCATCTGGTTTATTTTCTGAAAATTCTTCAATGTGCCCATTCCAGTTCTTGATATTTTGTTTAGAGTGAATATGAGATGTGCTTTCGTACCCTCTAGATATACAGTGTCTGTTGTTCTTCGTTACAGAACACTCACGGGTTTTTGGAACCCGACATTATTAACCGCCATTCTTCCAATGTAGGCATCTGAAAAGTGTTAAAGCTCGAACGGCCACTCTCTTCGGTCAGATGCCCCCTTCCTTCCGCGTTCCTGGCGCGTTTCCCTCACGCTCGTTGCGTTCCCCTGTCCGCGTGCGTTGCCTCCGCCTCTTCAGGAAGGGGTGGTGCAATGGGGCGTCACCATGTTGCGTCAGAGGTGTAGAGAGATTTCTTGTATACGAAGGGGCCGCATGGAGGGCCACTTCATGGCCAATGCTGGCAATATAACTGCAAGTTTCGTCCGTTGTCGCGTTTTGTCAGCGTATTCGTTTACAGTTCGCTCATTTGTAAATGACTTGATCCCTATCTCTTGCAATATCATCGCCTTCATGACGTTCGTTTGTTTCCTGGCCTGGCCTGGCCTGGAGTGGTCCCTTCTTCGAGGAACAGCTCAGTACTCTTTGGATGATGGCCCGAACCAGGCTGCGTCAAATTGTTCAAGACGCTTCTAAATGTTAATGTGTTGTCCTGTTACGAGCGTATTCAGATAGAATCTATTCCGGCCTATTTAATTAGTAGGTTTTGTCCTGTGTATTCCGTATAAAATACACAATAATTTACATTATGGAATAAGAGTCGCGGGAAATGTATTTTATTTACTGAATTTTAATTAAATCGCAGGATGACTTGTTTAATTCAATGAAGTCACTAGTCAGCACAAAAATGGAGACGTAGCAAACTTAAACGGAACACTTAGGTACTTGAATATAGAATACACAATTGTTATTGTCGATTTATTTGTTTTGAATATTAAATCTAAATAATGGAATGTAAGGCTGTGGCAATTTACACATAACAAAAACTTCAACCAACGCCTCTCTCATTGTACATAGAAAGATGGAATGAGGTGTAGTGAAAAATCTGTGTGTGTGATTCGAAATCTTTTTGATATCGCTAAGAAATCGTTTGCTCCTGTGCGAGATGGATGTGACTAGCCCGCTCGTTCCTTCAGACCGATAAAATTTGTGATTATTCGATTTAATTGAGAAAAATGTGGAGAACGCTTTGGTGCTGTGGACAGAGAGTGTCTTTACCTCCTCGTCCGCACCCGCCACTCGCCCCCAAGTCTTAGTTGGCCACGTCTTCAAAGCGTTGCCGCTGCACCGCTGAATCACCCTGTGTGGGGTGGGGCGCCGTCCCGTCCCGTCCCTTCCCTTCCTGTCTGCTCGTCGGCACCGCAGAGCAACGCTGCCACGTACGCAGTGGGACGCGAAAACGCAAGTTTCCCCGCCAGTTATTTTGGCGAGCGCATCCCCCGGCGCACTCGCCGGGTACTTCCGCCGTTCAGATCGACTGGCTCGCGATATTCTCTCACTCCTCGAAAATAGGTTTTATCTCTTCGTCGCTATCAAAGCGTCTGGTATATTAAAATGATACCTTAAAATAGGTAGACCCGTTACGCCTGAATCGAAAAGAGCTAGATTTATGATTGTGATGTGATGCCAAGGAGAATTGCGTGTCGATTGTGGAATACGTCTGTCTCATCTCCAAATATCACGTGAAGTAATTGAAGTATACTAGTGTTATCAAAAAAAGAAAGATTCAGTGCGATACTGTTCACAGTATTTAAGACACTATATTTTTGAAATGGAGAGTACTTCATGGCTGCTGTGCCTAGCTACCCTCAATTGAATCATATCTTTTTTTTTCTCACGTTAAAACTTCGATTTTGTGTATTTTAAACGATGTATATTGCAGCTGATAGCATGTAAAATTGCGTAAATTTTACGGGTGACGTTAAAAGAAATCATCCAAGCGTGTGCGTTTGACTTGTGAAATTATTTTATGAAATATTAAAATTTTCTAATTGACCTCTGTATGCTAAAAATTGCTTTTTGACTGGCTGCATTTTGACCAGAGTTGTCTTCTGTCCCGAATTACGCCATATTGTCATTGGCCAGGCGATCAACTTCTGGAACTTGCGATTCCGAGTGTCGGTTCAGCAGACGGTGCAGTTAAATGTTACTATTCGAATATTTTCATACGTGATTCGTAACATAGTTTTTGCATTTAAGCAATTTCTGACCCTGTGTAGTAATAGAATAGGTATGTTGGATTTTATTTGAGAATTAATTGTACAATTATTGCAGAGCCTTGGCAGTTCACGTCTAATTCTCAATTTTAAAAAACCTAATCAATGTCAAAACGTAAGAGCTGAATTCAATTTGGTTTCAAGACAAAATCAGAAATAACATGTTCGTGGTATCTCAATGTAGTAAAATATTCTTTGATATATTGTCGCACAATCTGATTTTAAAATTTTTGTTCGTCAGTAATGATTTCTTTCTGTTTCTTTCAAAGCAGTGTCCGCTGTTTCCGAAAAGTATTTCCGTAGTGGATTATGCGTTGTACGAATAAAGGCGTATGCGAAATTAACTCCTTGGGATTTAATCACAATCACTGAAGTTCGTAGAAACTATTTATCTCCGTTCATCATGAAACTGATTGGATAACGGAAGACATTCTGCGCTCACATGTGGAAAATTTGATACGTTATCACTACACTTTGTAGTGCATAAATTATTAATTATTGATTTTGTATATCTTTTTCAGCGTTTCTGATAATTTGAAATCGTGTATTGATGTCATTACTGAATTTTCCTTGAGTTATGTTCTTGCATGCACTTTCTGCTTAATATAGTGCACCTCGTGTGCACTGTACTGTTTGAGGTAACCACTTGCCCTTTCATCTGTTCATATCTTGTTGACCCGGCATCGTTTTGCCTGCCTTCTCTGGCAGTCATTGAAGTTGTGTCCTTGGGCCTATTGTCATGCGAATGGAGCTGCATCTTTGTCACTCCTCGTGCGCGCTCTGGTCTTCCGCGTGCCCAGCTCCGTTGGTCTGAGACGGACTCGGTTCTCTTTCTTTCCTACCTCATCCAGAGAGCTTCAGTAGAAAATATCGCACGCACTAGGAACTTTACTTGTGACAGGTTCGTGAGTGCGAAGATTATATGTGCTATGAGGGTAAAAAGACAGAATGACCAAATGATACTTACACGTGATGACGAAGCTTTGGTATCAACGGACGGTATCTAAAAGGAAAAAAGGTAAGTGTGTTGGTTGCTACACTAAAAGTATAACACACATATATAGCGCCATTATATCGTCGGCGTTTATAATGAAGAAAAATACATTTCGAAGTATTCGAATCGTTAGACTGTATATTGCCCTTTATTTTAAAGAGATAATATTAACATAAAATCACTGCTCTATATCAACACATAAATTACACGGTATACATAAAATAGCAACGTCTCTGAAATTACTTATATCCTTCGTTAAGTTTAATGGCAAAAACAAATAATTAATATAATTTTTAAACAATTGACTTGTAATTTATATATTGATATTAAGTAGTGATTTTTTATTATTATTCTGTTTTTGAATTAAAGGCCAAAGTAGAATGGGAATAATTTAGCAAAAACGTAGATAGAAAAGTAATAATGCTATTCAAATGGTACCATTTCATTTTGCATTGTACGCGGAAATCATTAAATCCACATTAACAGAAATGTTTTTGTAAAAGAAACCCCGACTTGCGCAGAAAATAGCTTTTACTTTACTCGGCCCGTTTCATTCTTTTGAGCTCTTGAATGCGTTCGTTGTTGAAAATGTTTACGGAATGTAG